AAGAATCCTTAAGACGATGCATATGAACTGCAAACGAGTTCAGATGATTAACTTCAGTTTATTTTTGAAAGCTATCACACATACACACACACAGAGAGAGAGAGAGAGAGAGAGAGAGAGAGAGAGAGATGATTAAGTTATATTCCGGAAAAGTATGCGAAATATCTATCATATTTTATCCATACTCGCCCCTTTTGCAAGATGATCATATAGTGACTTGGATGGAGAGTTGTCTCATTGGCACTCATACCACATCTTCTTATATCTATTAACGGTATCAATGTGAAGAAAAGTCGATAATCTACATGTATGTCAACTAGCTCCTTATCATAAAATTGAGAATGGAAACGGGGAATGTGTCATAGAGACAACAACCCGACCAAAGGGCAGAAAACAGCCCAAGGCCACCAATTTGTCTTCAACACAGCGAGAAAATTCCACACCCGGAGGAGGGCTTCAGCTGGTCCCTAAACATGGTTCAGCGAAAATGGACGTCACACTAAACTCCGAAACATATTAATGAACTAAAATTTAAAAAAAAACATACAAGACTAACAAAGGCCAGAGGTTCCTGACTTTGGACAGGCGAAAAAAATGCGACCTGGTTAAACATGTTTTGTGAGATCTCAACCCTCCCCATATACCTCTAGTCAATGTAGAATAAAAAAACGCACATCAATACGCACATTAAAACTTAGTTTTAAAGAAGTCACAGTCCGATTTTAGAATAGGTAACAGAAGAAACTTAGTAAAATGACAATGATTAGATATAAGAAGATGTGGTATGAGTGCCAATGAGACAACTCTCCATCAAAGTCAAAATTTTAACCATTAAAGTACGGTCTTCAACACGGAGCCTTGGCTCACACAGAACAGTAAGCTATAAAGGGCCCCAAAAATTACTAGTGTTAAACCATTCAAACGGGAAAACCAACGGTCTAATCTATATAAAAATCGAGAAACGAGAAACACTTATGAACCACATCAACAAACGACAACTACTAAACATCAGATTCCTGACTTAGGACAGGTGCAAACAAATGCAGCGGATTTAAACATTTTAATGGTACCAAACCTTCACCCTTTTTCCTGAAACAATAGTGTAACATCACAACATAGAAAGACACACTATAAAATATCAACTGAAATAGCTTAACTCAATCAAAGCACATATTAACACCAGTGGACATACACTGAACAAATAAATTTGACCTATGATACAATGCAAATACAAAATAAATAAACTAAGGGAAGAATAATAAAAGTAACATGTTATATCGGTATGAAATGTTAAACAATTTAAGAAAAACAATATGCTCGAACAAAAATATCAGCCATTTGCAATAACTTTAAACACAGGTAAATGAAAATAATTTTGTTATTAGGTATACGTGTACAGTTCCAATAGAGAAATGAAATATTTTTACAAAATAAATAATTTTGATGTTCATAGTACGAAGTGAAAATTTATAGTAATACCAAACACTTATCAAAGCTGGTATATAGACCAGATATAACCCTGAATAACATTAAATAACAAAAAAGCATTACAATTAGTATCAACAGGTCAAATAAACAAGAAAGTACGATTTGAGAGTACTCGCAGTTGCTGACAGCTAGTTAAAAGCCAAAACAATTAATAATAAAAAATCATGCATCAGAGACTAAAATCAACTAAAACACATCCCAGGAATTTAGTATTTAACGTCATGGACAGTCAAAGAAGACATGACTTGTGCAATGCCAAAAATAAATGTATCGACAGACAGTAGGATAGTTATGAGTTTAACCTCTTTATAGATCAAAATGAACGTGGGTGAGTTTATATAAATCCCGTTTGAAAAGAATACAAATTTAGTTATATTTTAATTTGCTGATGACAAAATCGATATTAGTGCCAATGTAAACTATATTCAAAGATCTAATTACAACATTGGTAAGATAACCTTTACTAATAAGTTTGTTTAAAGGTTCGATGAGTTTACACGTATCACATAGTGATTTCCGCGCTTTAAGTACAATATTACCGTAAAATTTAGGATGTGAAATGATTTGATCCGAATTATTTTGGGGTTTCCCTTTACAAATTATGGGCTGTACCATTGCTTTATCTGGGGTATCCATTTATATACTTCCCCATAACTACTTATTAGAATATATCAAAATGTTCTCTAAATCTTAACCCTTTAGATTTATGCCATTGTGCACCTCCAATTTTATTCTTTTAACCGAATTATCTTTGTGTTTCTTTTTGAAAATCATTGATATTGTCTTATCAAAACAATACATTCCTTATCTGGCACAAATTTCTCCAAAAATGCCTCCAAACTATTATCAATTATATAGGTGGTAATTGACTGTCATATTTCTGACTTGGTAAAAGATTTTTGTAAAATGAAAATTGTTAGGTTATTAGGTGTCAGTAAAACAAAATTTAAAAGGCTACTGCGAACTGAATAGCTGAAATGTTTTCTTGTAGAATTGTCTATTTGAAAAAAGAAGCCTCAAATGGCTCTCTGTCAGACTTATTTTTGTACACTTCTAAAATCAGACAAACAGATGCAGGCTAACTTGATAGGGATGATGATTGGAATGATATAGGAGGTTAATGAATTAGATGCATGCTGATTGGATATTCAGATGATTCACATAGCATATGAAATCTTTTTTTTTCTCATCAAAATCGATAGTATGCAAATTACAATTCACGCGCAGCTAAAAAATTACATTGATTGATTGATTTATTTGTGTTTAACGCCTATTTCAGCATTATTATGATATTTCATGGCGGTCAGTTTTGATTACAATATTATTAAAATATAGAACTCGGATTTCGTTATACTACATGTATAGAACTCGGATTTCGTTATACTACATGTATGTAGTATAACGAAATCCGAGTTCTATATTTTAATTAGATTGTTTTTATTAGTGGAGGAAGCTGGAGTGCTCGGAAACATCCACTGACCTTCTTCGGTAGGAAAACTGACTATCGTAGTCAATTAAGAATGGAGTCGAGTGCACCTGTAAAATACAAAACAGTTAAATTGCATTCAATTGAAAATGTGTATCATATCCTCCAAGATAAGACCATACACAGTGGAAACAAATACCTCACCTCCCCCAAAAAATGAAAAATAGTATTTTACAATTCCCTTTTATAAAATGTGTCAGTTAGGAAAGGACAATTTAACTTGAAAGGGGGTGGTGGTTTTTTTTAATGTTAACGGTACAAATTACCAGGTAACAGGAACAAAAAAATAGTTGTTCTGAACATATCTATATCTGTTAGAGTGCGTCTAAGAAAAAGCACTTTTCTATCCTCAGTTAAAAAAAACGTCGTTAATTTAATAAATGCGATTAGCCTATCACCACACAAAGATTGAGCACGGTAAAATCAATTAGCGTACAAATTATTCTGAGATCACCCCTATATCTTATCTCTTACTCCGAGTCCGACAGTTATTGTAAATCTCTACTAGTATACTGTTTATACTACGGATTGCGATTGGATGTTATGATTTGTCGTCTGTTTCTATTGGTCAACAAGCGCCTTGACAACAACTCTTGCTAAAGGGGACCAGTCTGTTTGTATATAAAGTTATTATATATCAAACATAACCGAATGGTCTCCCAAAGCAAGTGTTTTTGTAAGTGATCTTTCGTGCGCAGAAAGCATGACACTCAAACGCCAATACGAGAATATGTACATACCACAGTCGGACACACATCAGTGAAAGAAAGTAGTGAGAGTAAGAAATACAAGATAGTAATTAACATAAAAGATATTTCTTTTTTAAGACAAAATGTATCTTTAATTTCAAAATACGTCCCATAAAGATACCGACAGATAACAAATTAAAAGGTTTTTAGTTGAATCGTATGAATATTGAGTGGAACAAGTCACAAATTTTATCTATGTTTGATGTTTAATATTAGTTGACACAATGCTACGAAGAATATTTTTATCAACTATTATAATCCTTAAGTTCGACTAGACTCACTTGAAGGTTTTTTTTTCTGGAGTTGTTTGGTTTTGTTAATTCAAAAGTAAAAAAGTCAATATATTTAGATCATGTCAGCAACATTTGTTACTGCATGCTGTTAATCGTGCCTCATTCAAAATATCTAAAATTTCAAACATCAGAAAAAGGATATACTATTGAAAAAATATTAGATTTTGTGATGATTTGGCGTGCTTCAAATAAGCACAAACTGAAATTCTCCTACTTTTTTTCAGCACTACAATGAAGTCGTGATACCACTGTTACAGGCGAATATGAATAGAATAACCACAGTTTGCCTTTGAAATTTAATGTAGCAAACGACATCGATTTTCCAACAATTAGCTATTAATTTCTGCAATTATCACAGCCAAGTAAATTGATTTGACAATTGTTGCTCGCAGTTCAGCACATTAGTGGCGGTAAATAATTAATACAAAAAATATGTAGCCGTTACAGTTTGCTATTTGATTTTTATAATAGTTTTGAGGGTTGTCAAACACAGTAGCTTATTGTTGCCGACATGTTCATCTCGAGGGAGTTGTATGCCTGCAAAACTTACCATCAATACATTAATGTTTTTACTCTCAGTGTTTGTTTCATGAATGACTTTCATTTTTTCAAATTTTTCATTGGCTAACCAAACAACTATTTCATATCGATTCATCTTCTTTTGCAAGGTTCTGAAGGGGTAAGATGAACACGTGTAGCTATGATCAGTATACCTTTTCTTATTTAAACCTCTTTAACTACTTAAGCCTTGGCAAAGTTAAACATACGTTTTTATCTGATAAGACCCATGACTAAGAAAAAAATGAGACACAAAAAATCCTCTATAAAATATCAACTATTGCTTTGCATATTGAAATTTACCCTTTTCATCTGTGAAATTTACATAACAGTGATGATGGATTTTATCTTACCAATAGCGAGCCTAATGAATATTAACAACCGCTAATGTTACAATACATTTTCATTTGAAGTCCTGAATAATTAATGTCCCAACAAGTCTATACAAAACTCGAGAGACAACAGTAATCTTCCATTTTATCACAACCCAACAGAAACGGGCACCGGAGACGAAGAAAGTTTAAATCTTCTTTTTGTGAAAAATCATTTTTGACAAACGGTTAAACTGAGGTAAGTTATTTCATTTAAATAATAAATTTAATTTGTTCTATTAGATTGATGTTGTTTATTGGTATTTCATTAAGGTTATGTTGATGTTAATTGGAGTTAAATTAAACTTACATTAAATGGCTTATTACAACCTGCTCTTATATCCTATGAGACATATTCAATTGTTAAGACTATCGTTTGAAAACAATAAAATAAAGGTTGTCAGGAAAAGAACAAAGCAAGAATCATGTTTTGTTCCATAGTGACAACTATTTTTTCGATAGAGAATTAGAATTTCATTCTTTTTCCGAAACCAAAATTGTTGCATCATGCACTTCTTGTTCCGTCAGTTGAGTTTACGACTATTTCAAGATTTTAAATTATTTGATATGCAGTTTTTGACTACTTTGCTTGAAACGTATACTAGTATTCAAAAGAGTGATATTGTGGTATAAACAAGCTATGAATTTTGAGATTTACTACGTACCAGATTGTTAAATTCGTATAGTATGTATTAAAAAAGTGTGCAGATAATTATATTAGAATGTGATCACGTATTTACTTATGCTTTTTGTTGTATACATTATGTACGTAAAATTTGATTTTTTTATGTATTTGTTTTTAGTTTTCATACTGAAATCGGGGTTTTATAATAATGATAATAATAAATGGGTGCAGAAGAGAAAAAAGCCGTAAACAAGTGTAAAACACTATCACGTACTCCATTCAAAAGTTTAAACGATTCAAAGTAGTGAATCCACAAGACCAAAATCTAGTTTTAAAATCAGTAATTTATTGTTAGACATATTGTATTATTTAGTGCTGCTTTTATCAGTTATTAGTTTTCCGAGCGCATGTTATGCGATTCCGAAAAAAAACCCTTCATGCTATAAACAAACGTTATGTATATAACGTCAAAGAGAGAGCAACCACAAAAAGGACCTAAACAAAATTACAAAAACAGTTTTAAGTAAACTTGGTCTAGTATAGGCTTTACAACATACGTTTAAGTAAAAATTTGAAGTTTTTGAAACCGAAATATTTGAATTAAAATGTATTATATACCAATACTAAATAACTAGCTACTGGACGGATAGCTACTGGACGGATAGCTACTGGACGGATAACAAGTTTTGGGTCATGAAGTCATACCACATCTCCTTATTTTTATATGTATTATGTTTTAGTACTTGTTAATCTTTGTATTAATGAAACGAGATTGTTTTCATTTTCTGCAAATGTCTGTTTATAAAATGCTGAATAATTTGAAAAAACTAAAGTTTTTCTTCCCCTAGGCATAGAAAATCGTAGCCTTAGTTGGCACCGAATTTCAAAATTTTAGTTTTCAATGCTTTTTAATTTTGCATTTGATTTGGCTATCCAACTGATGAGTCTTATGTTGACGAAACACCTGTCTAGCTTATCAATTAATAAACCTGGTATCTTCGATAATTTTGGAGCAAATGAAATCTAAATATAAGGGTAAACTATATTCAGGACATTGTCATGGTAAATTAAGCAATGGATGAATCATTAGATTATGCCAGTAATGCATAAAGTTCGCCTCACAAGAGGCCAAATAATATGTTATTATAATTATCAAAATGCAAAAAGACTCTCAACGGTGAGTCTTATTGTCTTGACTGCAAAAAAAGTCTCTAAAGGAGGATTTTTATATCTTAACAATAAAAGTTCTAAAGGTAGTTCTTACTATCCGGTAAAAAGAATCTAAAGGTGGGTTTTCTATCTTACTGATGTAAACACTCTGAAGATAGGTCTTACTATCCTACTGGTAAAACCCTCTAAAGAAGGTCTTACTATCCTACTGGTAAAAAGACTCTAAAGGTGGGATTTACTATCCTACTGGTAAAAAGACTCTAAAGGTGGGATTAACTATCTTACTGGTATATACACTCTAAAGATAGGTCTTAGTATTTTACTGTTATAAACACTCTAAAGATAGGTCCTACTATCCAACTGGTAAAAAGACTCTTTAGGAGGGTCTTACTATCTAACTGTCAAAAAGACTAAAGATCATGTTTACCTTTTATATCTGTTTGGGTTGCTCATCCAATTTTGTCAATATAGCGGAACTATAAACAGCTGGCATACAAGTGGGAGGTTTAGCTAGCTATAAAACCAGGTTAACTCACCATGTTCGTGGGAAAATGCACGTTCCAAGTCAGGAATATGACAGTTGTTTTTCACTCGTTCCGTTGATTGATAACGTTTGATATTGTCAGTTTTTATGGACTTTCCCTTTTTGAATTTACCTTGGAGTTCGCTATTTTTGTTTTACCTTTTACTGCTAAAAAGACTTTTAGGTGTGTGTCTCTTACTGTCTTGCTGCCAAAAAGCCCGCTAAGGCGAGTCTCACTATCTTACTGCCAAAAAGACTCTTCAAATGGTCTTTCTAACTTCATGACAAAATAACTATAAAGGTCTTTTTTTTTATAAGTGTGGGTATGACGATCTTAACTAACATGAAGACTTAAAAGATGGTTATACTACCTTACTAAAAAGACTCTAAAGGTGGATTTGACTATCTTACTGTCAGAAAAAATCTGTAGGTGGGTCTTACTATCTTAAGGCTAAATAGACTATCAAGGTTAGTCTTACCATCTTACTTTGAAATAGACTCTGAAGGTGTATTATGTTACGTTTCTTTCATAAAGACTCTAACGGTGCTTCTAACTATATTTCAGTCAAAAAACACCAAGGACGGTCTATCTGCAAAACATATACCCTTGTATCAATATCTATATCTAAATGTCCCTAATCTAGATTTAAAAAATATGGACAAATCTAACAGAGCGTATCAGAAACAATCATTTTGAACGCGTTTCTATGTTTAAAACGCACCGTGTAAATCATTGTAGAAATTTTCAAAGAATTAGAGTAAAACAATATATATTTTGGTTAGACGACTAACAACGACGCAGGCCATTTCACAAATGCTATGACTATGTTAGAAAAAAACCCAGATATACCGGTAACCTGTAATATTATCATCCACATTTCAACTATTGAAATGAATGAGAAACTTCTTAAGGAAAGCTAGCTTAATATCAAGAGTATCACGTTTTTCATCAGTTTCGTGTAACATTTTCATTAAAAACGAATAACAGTAATAACCGAATCTTATGTGTCAAGTTTAATTTCACTCGTGTAGTATGACTGTTCATCATATTAGATTCTACCGGAACACCCTTAAGCAACGATCTCTTGTCAAAGAAAAATGTCTGATGTTTGGTGTTTTAACGTCAAGTAGTCAACATTTCCCTGAAAGACTGTAAATGCAAAGAAATATATTAATCTTTTGTCTCTCTTATTTATCTTTTGGGGGAAGATCTGGAAAAGTGTCTGTGGATTAGTAAATGAGGTAACTGGTTATGTTAAGTAGAATAATGAATTTGTCCTTAAACAGGCCATATCAAACCCCATCTAAGGTTTTAACGTGCAAAGAATGCAAAACTGATGTAACTACTTCAATGTAAAAAAAAAAAAAACCTTCCAGTTTTGACTTTTTATTATGGGGTTGAAAAGGAAGGAACTGGTATATTAATTCAGGATACAAAATCCGTACACACACTTGGACAAAACTAAAATAAAAAAGGACATCGCTAACAGATGCATTTGTTGTAACAGATCTGTTTCTTGTGTAAACTGATTTTGTATTTGTATTTGACGTATCAAAATAAATAACGATGGCACCCATAGTAATAGTTATTCCATGCAGGTTTACAATTTCTCTCTGATGGTATCAAAAATGGACTTAACGGTTTGTGTTCATCTTTTCTTTTGAATCACATCTGACCCGTTGCATGTATTACTTCAGTTTGTTTTTTCTAGTGGTTCGTTATACCTTCTTCTTCTTTTTGTTATCCTATTGAATAAAAGCGAAATATTGGATTAATTAAACTTTTGAACCTTGTTGCTGCAAAAAGCTTTATTGTTTTTGTTATGTTCTACCTTCCATAAATTATTTAAACACATCCTACAATTTTATGTGCGATGATGAACTGATATGTAGACCCCAATCGATCGTAATTTGGAGGAGCCATGAGCATAAAACGTCTCGGAGAATCGAAACCAAAGAGACATATCCTGTTACGGTGAAAGTATTTTATGGAATCTTTTTTGAAATCTTTAAAGGATATTCAACTGGTGCAACAGTGCAACAGAAAGTGTAGAAACTTTAACTTATTTTCTGCCACATTGTTCTTGCAGCATAAGGTGTTGTTAGATTACGATCACGCACGTGTGTTTGTTTTGGTCACATAACAATAAGAAGTGTGGTGAGCATTTGTAAAAACTGTCTACGTGTTTCTTTTTTATATAAGAATAAAAACCAGTGAGTAACAAAAAATTGAACCGAAATACATGCTAGATTTTAAATCGTAAAAAAAAAGACAATCTTCAATTACATTTCAAAACAAAAGGAAAGTGCTCGGTAATAACTCTTTTTAATACTCAGACTTCTTTACCCTGCTTACATAACGCTTTTGTTTATTTCCTTTGTAAATTATTTGCAGATTAACTATGGTAAAACATCCGATTTCTACATCCTTTCTGGATCGCGTCACCTGATGCTACTTGATTGTTGTCCTGATTGTCTTTAATAATCAACATTGACTTTATGGTCAATTCACACTAATGCATCGAACAGTCAACAAAACATATTTGTGTTAATTTCACATTAGGAAATTGATGATTAAATCTCAATTAAACATGCTAATTCTTTATGCTACACATGGAAGTCATGGATATCAAGATAATTTTGGCATGCTTGTTGTATTGATGCAGTATTAGTTTTTTTCTAAAGATTCTGTATAATTATATCCTGTAGTTTGTCTTTCGAAAAAAGGGTGGGAGTGTGAAGCTTTTTTGTGCATCTTGATCATGTTTTGGCAAGTATGAAACGCTGCTGAAAGACTTAAAATGAGTAAGAAAAATGAGAAATGAAGAATTATAGGATAATGTACCTTTACGTCGCATTTAAAATATAAACTACGATTACG